AGGTAATTTCCGCCCCTCCCCCCAAGTGATCTGGAAACAATATCCTTTCATTTTGTTACATTTATAAGTATGGATTCAAATTTACTTACCAACTTAGGGCTTATGTTGCCCAAATCTTTACACCTATGTCTTTCATAAATATTAGCCATCATTTCTTTAAATTTTGCTCTAATCCTTTATTTCTATTCTCACTTTCTGAAACTCTTTTTGAGACACATAATGAAATTGTTCATTCCCTTCTTCATGTACTTAACCTTTCTTTATATTTTCCTTCATTCAGTTGGGTTTTATCAACTTTTTACCTCATCCATTGAAATTTTGAAAATAAACATTATAATTTTCATAAAGCATTTTAACACAGCTCTGTGGTAAGCTGTAATGATCTTGACATGTTGAGATGTTTTTTATTCCATTTGTCTTTTTTTAATATGTTGAGATTTTATTTAAAACTAGTGCCCCAGTGCATGGATTTGTGCACATTGAAAGGAAATTAATTAGAAGGTGGCCTGTGGGGCGGGACTGGGCGAGACGGGCCGGACATGGGCTGGAGCCAACCTCCCGCAGTCCCTCTCTGGCCTACCGCACCTGGGGCGGTGTTGCAGCTCGGAGGTTGTATGTGGAGTGAGTGGGGTCCCTCCGGCAGGTCGGGTCCTTTGACCTGGCCTGTGGGGATCGAGCCAAAACCGGCTCTCCAACATCCCCCGAGGGGTCCTGGATTGCAAAAGGGCGGTTCTCGGGTGACGCACCCCAGAATCAGGCTTCCTCCTCTCTGGATCCGGGTGCATCACCCGAGAACCGCTACTGCCAAGTCACCGCAGCTTGGTAGCTCCTGCATTGAGCGTCTGCCCCCTGGTGGTCAGTGTGCATCATACCTACCGGTCGGAGTGTCTTCCCCTCTGGAGGTCATTGTGTGTCATAGCTACCGGTCAGACAGTCGCTTAGCCTTTTATATATATAGATGTTACACTGCTATTTCCTCAAATCAGCATCAATACATTCATAGTTTTTTTTTCCTAGAGACAACTGTTTCTTTTCAACTTTCCAGTTTTCCTTTATTCTATGTTGTTTGAATTCTTCTAACTCTATTAGAAGAAATTCTTCTACTTAGATTAAAAATAATTTTTTCATTTTTTTCTCTCTCTCCCCACATTTTGTTTTCCATCATATCATTTGACAATAAGTTCCAAATTGATTGAGAAGTCAGAACAGTGGTTACTCTTGAGGGTGGGTCCTGAACTGAAGTTGGAGGGAGGAGGCAGGAGAATACTCTCAAACACTAGAAATGTTCTGTATCTTTTAAAAAAAAGGATATTTTTATTGATTTCAGAGAAGAAGGGAGAGGGAGAAATAGAAACATCAATGATGAGAGAGAATCATTGATCGGCGGTCTCCTGCCCATCCTCTATTGGGGATTGAGTCTGCAACCTGGGCATGTTCCCAGATTGGGAATTGAACCATGACCTCCTCATTCATAGGTCTATGCTCAACCACTGAGCTACACTGGTCTGGCATGTTCTATATCATAATTTGCATGGCAGTTACATTTGTAGAAAGTCATTGAATTGTACACACTTGAGACTTTTACAATTAAGTTGTATTTCACAAAAGAGGGGGAGAAAGTTGTAGGCATGATTATAATGCACACTTAAATATTTACACATGTATTTACAAAGAATAAAAACATTCTCCTGTATATTATCACACTTTAAAAATTAATAATTCTAGCCGAACCAGTTTGGCTCAGTGGATAGAGCGTCGGCCTGTGGACTGAAGGTTCCCAGGTTCGATTCTGGTCAAGGGCATGTACCTTGGTTGCGGGCGCATCCCCAGTGGGGGGTGTGCAGGAGGCAGCTGATCGATGTTTCTCTCTCATCAATGTTTCTAACTCTCTATCCCTCTCCTTCCTCTCTGTAAAAAACAATAAAATATATTTTTTTAAAAATTAATAATTCTATAACATCCAATGTTCAGTCAACATTAAAAACTTTCCAAGTCTCAAGAATGTCTTTTACAGCTCTCCCCATCCTAATCTATAACCAGGATCACACACTGTATTTAGTTGTTATGTCTCTTTAGTCTTTTTTAATGTAGAATAATCCACAACTTTTTTTTTTTTTTTAAATATATTTCATTGATTTTTTACAGAGAGGAAGGGAGAGAGACAGAGAGTTAGAAACATCGATGAGAGAGAAACATCGACCAGCTGCCTCCTGCACATCTCCCACTGGGGATGTGCCCGCAACCAAGGCACATGCCCCTGACCGGAATCGAACCTGCGACCCCTCAGTCCGCAGGCCGACGCTCTATCCACTGAGCCAAACCAGTTTCGGCAATCCACAACTTTTTTATTTTATTTTATTGATTCCAAAGAAGGAAGAAGGTGGAGAGAAGGAGAAGAGGAGAGAGAGAGGAGAGAGAGAAGGAGAGAGGAGAGAGGGGAGAGAGGGAGAGAGGGAGAGAGGGAGAGGGAGAGGGAGAGGGAGAGAGAGAGAGACATCTATATGAGAGATACATTGATTAGTTGCCTCCCACACATGGCCCTGACTAGGGATTGAACAAGCAACCTAGGTATGTGCCCTGACAGGGAATTGAATCTGTGACCTTCTGGTGCACGGGACGATGCTCCCAACAACTGAGGCACACCAGCCAGGGAAATCCCCATCCTTTTAATCTCCAACACATTGAGGAAGTTTATCTTAGAGGATGTCCACATTTCTCGTTTCCTCATGGTGCTTATCTCCGTGTTTCTTGTAAAATGGAAGGTGGCAGAAACTTGACATTTAACTTGTAATCATTCTTAGTAAGAATACTTCATAGATGATAACTGTCATCCACTTTCCTTCCTTCCTTCCTTCCTTCCTTCCTTCCTTCCTTCCTTCCTTCCTTCCTTCCTCCCTTCCTCCCTCCCTCCCTCCTTCCTTCGTTGAATTTATTGGGTTGATATCCTATATAATAAAAGCCTAATATGCTAAGTGTCTGGTCGTCTGGTCATCTGTTCAATCAAAGCATAATATGCTAATGATATGCTAAGGCTGCTCAAATGCTTGCTATGATGTGCACTGACAACCAGGGGGCAAACAGTCGGTGGGTAGGTTAGCTTGGTGCTGGGGTCCAGCTGATCAGGACTGAGCGAGACAGGCTGGATACGCCCTGGAGTCCTCCTGTGGGCCCTCCCCAGCTGGCCAACCTCCCACATCCGTCCCAGGCCCTGATCATGCACCAGTGGGGTCCCTCAGCTTGGCCTGTACCCTCTCGCAATCCGGGACCCCTCAGGGGCTGTCAGCTGGTTTTGGCCTGATCCCACAGGCCAGGCTGAGGGACCCCACTGGTGCACAAATTCGTGCACTGGGCCTCTAGTTGGTTAATAAGATTATATAGGTTTCAGATGTACAATTCTATAATACATTATCTGTATATTGTATTCTGTGTTCACCAGTCCAAGTCAAATCTCCTTCTATCACCAATTTATTCCCCCTTTACCTTCTTCTACCTCTCCCCATGCCCCTTCTTCTCTGGCAATCACCATAGTACTGTCTATGTCTATGAGGATTTTTTTTTCACCCAGCCCCCCAACCCTGTCAGTCTGTTCTCTGTATTTATGGGTCTGTTTCTATTTTATTTGTTAATTTATTTTATTCATTAGATTCCACATATAAGTGAAATAGCATGGTATTTGTCTTCCTCTGACTGGATTATTTCTCTTAATATACTATTCCCCAGGTCCATCCATGCTGTTGCAAAAGGTAGGATTTCCTTCTTTTTAAAATTTGAAGACCACCTGGAAGTTCTGTTTTGTTCCTTCTTAGGAGTCTAATTTAGCTGTTTCTAAATCTTCTAACTCATGAACGGTAGACAGTTTCCTTGTATATTTTATAAATTAGGATTTTGAGTTTGTCACAAGGGCATTCTCTCTGTGAATTCAGGGACCTGAATGGGCCAGAGGGTTTCCATTTACTTTTGCCCTGTCCCTGAATGCTATTACCCCTCTAGTACCAGTTGTTACATTCATTTATTGGGTGCAGGGAAACCCACACTTTGATGAGACTAGGTCTATAGTTAAGAGTATACAGGGTACTCTTATCTGGAACCCTGGCAAAGTACCCAGATAAGTTTCACTGTTATTTATGTATGCTGGTGAATAAATTTCCTTCCAGTTCACCCTTTTGTTGAAGGTAAAGCTCTTCAAGGCTCAGCTTTAGGTAAAGATCTAAATTCCAACCATGTCTGTGTCATAAGGCCTAGTCTTATGTTCCCACACATTAATCTTCAAATCCCTTTGTTGCACATGGTGAAAAATCGACCCCACTGGAGGTCACTATAGCACAGGTGAGCAAACTTTTTCCATTAAGAATAAGCATTACCAATGATGCTGCCTGAGAAAAATAATTAAAAACTACTTTGACTTTTTTGGAAAGAATATGGTTTTTGTTAATATAAAAAGCAATATGCATTATGAAAAGTAACGATGTATAAGGGTGCATTATTTACTAAATCTACTGATAGTACTCGTTGCACTTGAGGATTACAGACCATCCAAAATAATTCTGCAGATTTCTCTGTTCTAAATGTTACTTACAGAGTACTCTACTCTAACGGTGATACCAATGATCAATAATCAAAAGTTATATAAACAAGAGGAAAAATAAATCCAAATAGAGAATTCTCAAGGGTGAAGAATGAATCTTACCTGATAGATGTTAGACAACAAGCAAGCACTAGTCTTAAAATTCTTATTGATTCTGAACTAGTACTTAAACTTGAGCATGGTTCAAGTTTGGTAGGTAAGATTAAATGTCAAATCTGACACTAAAAACAATACTATTTGTTATAGTTAAAGAACACAGACTTTGGCACCAAATAATTGTCTTTTCCTCCCTTGTTTGAAATGCTTCAATTTGTAAGACCACTGAGTATAAAGTGATGATATATTTCATTTTCAACAAGTGGTCTTTCTGAAAAATACAAAGAAAAGGCACTGATGATATTAAAAGTTGACTCACCACTGTCCTCTGTTTGTTGGGCAGGAAGACTCTAACAATAGGTTTCTGTGGTGACTTAGGGTTGCTCCGTGACACATCTGTGGGATTTTGAAAAACTGAAAGAGATGAAGGTAGCACTGAAAGGCTAGAAGAGGAAGAAGATGTAACGGTGTCCGTTGATGCAGAGCTAGAAACAGAAAAATCAGTTCCATTCCCCAGGGATTCCAATAACTGTTGTTCTCTTTGTTGGAGGGCATCTAGCTTGCTGGTGTATTCTTCATAGGCCTATAAAATAAAGTAGATTTACAGTGAATCTGGAACTCTTCCTAACAGTAACTAAAGAAAACATAAAATTTAAGTCCTCTATTATAATCTCTTTATAATTTAGCTTACAGGGTTTTAAGTTATAAGTTTCAAAATAAGCACTGGAAGTACTGTAAATGACTACTTTTACCTTTAAATAGATAAATCTTTTGTTATAAGATACTACATTATATTACAATGAGAAACTGATAAACACATATAAAAGACATGTCTATAATATCTATGAGTATTAATAAAAGACAGTATAAAATACTATACTGCATCAAGGATAAGTACCCTCTTCATTAAAATTGCTTCCACCCCTCAAAAAAAAAGCTGTTGGCACATAAAGTTTCACACTCCTCTCCCCCTGCTCTAAGAACAGACAAACAAGTTGAAAAGGAGATGAGGTATTAGATTTGTCAAAAAAATAAGACTCAGGTACACAGTGCCAGATCTCACCACTACCACTAAAATCTTAGAAGATGTATAACTGCTGTCTTCCTTCTGAAATAGCTATCAATTAAAATTCTTTATTCTTCTCACTATGGATCTCTGATGACCTCCTTCCTCATCAAATACTGCTTAGAGAATAAAATTTTATTTGAAAAGGTGGCTTACACACTGCAGTCAAGAAATTCTGGGACCACTGTCCATTTTGACTAAGACTATCAGATCAAATTACCACATATACCATATTCTAAAAGTAAGAAGAATCTTGAAAACAGAATGATATTGAAAGTAAAGAGATGGAATGAATTGTGACATATACATGTCCATAGTTCTTTAAGGCAGCTGTAATCACCCCATACTATGGTTTACCATTTCTCCCTTAAAGATACAGTACTACAACCATTTATGAAAGGCTACAGGGAAAATAAAGGTTTAGAAATGACAATTCACAGCTCTCAAGAAGTTCATTATTGGGCTGCTGAGAAGCAGATGAATATATTTTTATTTGTGTTAGTACTATATGTGAGAAATAAACAAAGAACATTCTTGATACAAGAATGAGGAAGGAGGGGAGTCTTAAAAGGCTAGCATTTAGATGGATGAAGTAAGTGGGGAGAAGAGAGGACTGAGTACAGGATAAATTGTGTAATAAAGTAAGGAGGCAGAAAATTTTAAGACATAGAGGAAAAACTATACTAGTATAGCTGAATGTCATAGCTGGGACACAGTAAGGGATCAATATATATTTGTGGCACTTAACTGAAGACTAGGAAAACAAACTTTAAGACTGAAAATGTGGGTAAGGGACCAGATTAGAGAGAGAGAGAGAGAGAGAGAGAGAGAGAGTGTGTGTGTGTGTGTGTATTAGAGGCCCGGTGCACGAGATTCGTGCACTTGGGGGGGGAGGTGTCCCAAAGCCCGGCCTGTGCCCTCTCACAGTCTGGGAGCCCTGGGGGGATGTCTGACTGATGGCTTAGGACTGCTTCCCATGGGGAGTGGGCCTAAGCCATCAGTCGGACATCCTTAGCGCTGCCGCGGAAGCAGGAGAGGCTCCTGCCACCGCCATTACTCTCACCAGCCGTGAGCCTGGCTTCTGGCTGAGCGATGCACTGACCACCAGGGGCAGCTCCTGCGTTGAGTGTCTGCCCCCTGGTGGGCATTGCCCATCATAGCGACTGGTCGTTCTGCTGTTCGGTCGATTTGCATATTGGCCTTTTATTATACTAGAGGCCCGGTGCACAAAATTTGTGCGGGGTAGGGGGGTGTCCCTCAGCCCGGCCTGCACCCTCTTGTAATCCGAGACCCCTCAGGGGATGTCTGACTGCCAGTTTAGGCCCAATCCCACAGGGTTCGGACATCCCTCTCGCAATCTGGGACTGCTGGCTCCTAACCGCTGGCCTGCCTGCCTGCCTGATCGCCCCTAACCACCTCTGCCTGCCTGCCTGATTGCCCCTACCCACTCGCTAGCCTGCCTGATTGCCCCGAACCACTCTCCTGCCTGCCTGATCGCCCCTAACCACTCTGCATGCTGGCCTGCTGCCCCTAACTGCTCGCCTGCCTGCCTAATTGCCCCTACCACTCTGCCTGCCTGCCTGATTGCCCCTAACCACCTCTGCCTGACTGCCTTATCCCCCAACCACCTCTGCCTGCCTGCCTTATCCCCCTAACCGCCTCTGCCTGCCTGCCTTATCCCCTTAACCACTCACCTGCCTGCCTGATCACCCCTAACCCCTCTGCCTGCCTGCCTGATTGCCCCTAAACACCTCTGCCTTGGCCCCACTGCTGAGGCTTCATCTGGAAGGTTGTTCGGCTGTCTGGTGTAATTAGCATATTAGCTTTTATTATTATAGAAGATACCATGTTATGAAGCCTGAACTTCATTCTACAAGGAAGGAAGAATTATCAAAGGTACAAGAGAATGAAGCAACATTTTCATTTCAGAAAAGGCCACCGCACCTGGTATGCTAGATCTTACCTTATATTTTTTTGGGGGAAAAAGAAAATAAAATACTAAAATGATCTACTGAGGTAGATAGCCTTCATTACAGCCTACCAGGGGCCCGACCCTGACCTTGAAATATTTCATAGCATTCCAGGGCATAAGAACCAAATTGATTAAAAATTTTCTTATCTGTAGTACTATATAAATTTCAGTTCCAAGTGCTAATTATTTATGAGCAGCTCTTTCAATATGCTCCACTTTATTGAGCCTTCAGTAAATACATATTGAGCATACATGTGCTTGGCACTGTTTGGGGCTCAGATCACAAAAATAAAGACCAATGCATTTCCTACCCTTTGAAAATTGTAAACATGCAGTCAGGGAGGCAAAAGTTCCTCCTTACATAGATCAAATATTCTTATTTATTGGGCAGCACATTCACTACACAAAGTTAGCCTTAGGAAAAGAAACACATGTAAACAATAAAACTTCTGAATATTATTTATCAAAATGTTTTTCTTTATTTTTGAAAATACACTATTCCCTCAATTGTGGATTACAAACTATTATTTCACTGCACTTATCAGTACCTCTTCCTTTTTTTTTTTTAATGTTATTATTGATTTCAGAGAGAGGAAGGGAGAGGGAGATAGAAACATCAATGATGAGAGAAAACCATTGATCAGCTGCCTTCTGCACACCCGCCCCTCCACAGGTGATTGAGCCCACAACCCAGGCATGTGACCTGACCAAGAATCAAAACCTGGTTCATGGGTAAACACTCAACCACTGAGCTACACCGGCCAGGCCCGCCACTTTTTCTTAAGTACAAAACATTTACTTATTCTACCTCTCTCCATTGTTACAGCTGCAATCTACCACGGCACTTGCCTACCTTGTTTTGTACCTGGCTTGGTTCATTTCACCCTATTATCCTGGCTGCATTCAGTGTGGATATTGATTACTAGGTGTACCAGTTAATAATGCGGATTTTTTTCAATAGATGGAGTTACACATATGTTGATATATATGCGATTTGATATGTATGCTATTTTATTGTATTGACAACAAGCTTCAA